ATTTGTCCGAACAAATAACTTATTTGTCCGAACAAATTTCTTATTCGTCCAAACGAATTTCTAATTTGTCCGAACGAATATCTAATTCGTCCGAACGAATATCTATTTCGTCCGAACAAATAACTTATTTGTCCAAACAAATTTCTAATTCGTCCGAACAAATTTCTAATTTGTCTGAACAATTTCTAATTTGTCAGCACGAATATCTAATTTGTCCGAACAAATAACTTATTTGTCCGAACAAATTTCTAATTCGTCCAAACGAATTTATAATTCGTCTGAATGAATTTCTTATTCTTCCCAACGAATATCTAATTCGTCCGAACGAATTTCTAATTTGTCCAAACAAATAAAATTTTTTTTTTTTACCTGGCCCTCCAGCGGCGCCGTACAGTTCAACTGGAAATTAATGAAAAATAAAGGCATGTATATTTGAAAAATGGTAGCCTCGCTTTACTACGGCGCCACTGGAGGGCCAGGTAAAAAAATATCTTTATTTGTTCGGACAAATTAGAAGTTCGTTCGGACGAATTAGTAATTTGTCAGAACTAATCAGATATTCGTTCGGACAAATAAGAAATTCGTTCAGGCAAATTAGAAATTCGTTCAGACGAATCATTTATTTGTTCGGACGAATTAGATATTCGTTCGGACAAATTAGTTATTTGTTCGGACGAATTAGATCTTCGTTCGGACAAATTAGAAATTCGTTAGGACAAATTAGAAATTCGTTCGGACAAATTAGTTATTTGTTCGGACGAATTAGATATTTGTTCTGACAAATTATAAATTCATTCAGACAAATTAGAAATTCGTTCGGACGAATCAGTTATTTGTTCGGACGAATTAGATATTCCTTCGGACAAATTAGTTATTTGTTCGGATGAATTAGAAATTCGTTCGGACGAATTAGTTATTTGTTCGGACGAATTAGATATTTGTTCGGACGAATTAGATGTTTGCACAAATTATCTTGTAAAGAGAGATATACACTTTGTCTATTCAGGAGGATTCATCCTTTTTTAATACATAAATAGCTCTTTGGACCATGACATACACACGTAGCAACTAGACATGTGATATTAAAGTCGGGTATGTTGATTGTAAATATATCTATACCGGTATATATTATAGGCCTAAAGTCTGCCATTCTGAAAGTATATTTTCTGAGAGCCCACTAGTAAATTCAAAGGGTCAGTTACTTCTTATCAAACATCTTTTCACTCCCATCCCTGAATAACACTGGGGTGCCAGTGGTCAGTTACCGCTTCTTTGTAAAGATGAGATCCACTCCTTAAGGTTTTACTCCTATTGCAGGCAATTGGTACGGGAAAAAATTGGCATTGAAAAAGTAAGCCCCCATCCCACGAAATAGGACTGTCAGCTTTGGGCAACTTTTCCTGAGTCACCCCCTTTTTTTGCTTGTCAACTTATTAAGGTAGCTATTTTTTTCTCAGCCCCTCCCCCCACTTTCAAAAACGATGCTACGTGGCTGCATTGTATTATATTGAATAAACTTCGGACTCAAAATATCGAGCCTCTTATTCGAGGGTCTTAAATTTTTTAAGGTGGGGCTTACTAGCTAGGACATTTGTAGATTTGCTTCTATACCGCTGTTCCCACATTTAAGTATTTTGTGATAAAGAAACAAAAAGAGGGAATCTCATAAGTCCATCTCTGATGGATTCTTCCTAAGATCGTTAAAAATTATTATTAAGTATCTATATCAATTTTATTCTATATTTAAATATCAGGAAAGCGCATGAATTAAAATATGCAGGTATAATATTGACCAAATTAAACACACGCTCCTTTCCGGGAAAAGGATAAAAAATAGATGAATACATGTACGTTCCTAAAAAGTGCAGTAAAATTTAAAAACACATCATAATTTAATACAAGTTAAGGTTCTCAAGGATTAAGACAATCGATTGTTTTTTAAATAGAGAGGGGGGGGGGTTGTTACTTGAAAATATTTTGACATTCATTCATGATTTATTTTCCCCGTAAAAGGGGTTGCTTTCATAATTTCCCTTTCTATGTGAGTCATTGGCCAATCAAACCTTCCAACTGGTACTCAACTGTAAAAGCGTATATTAAACAAAATTAAGAAATGCTGAAATTGGAATTAAATAGTTTGTTCGACTACGTGTACCTCTCCAATAATGGGAGGGGACTATAACTATGCTCTGAAAATCAATGGACTAGGGAATATACCAGATTGATCGGTTGACCTCGTAATTCACCGGCTCGCAGGTCATATGAACAACCTGGGATCAATACGAACAGGTTCATTTTTGTGAAGTTTTCTAAATTCACAAACAGGAATATTTAATTAAAAACTCAATGAGGACTTTTTAATCAATTTATACACCGAATATGTACCAGATTGATTGGTTGAATGTTTTACGCCGAATCGGCAATATTTCAGCTACAAATCGGCGACATATGTATCAGAAATGTATTTCAAAAATCATTCACATGTCATGATTAATACCTGCAAGGTAGTGAATCTGTACAGATCAACATTAAAACGACTTATCTTCAAAATATTGATTGATAATGTTGTTCATAAAAGATATTTTGCAAAGAATCACAATAAAATGAAACGTCTTGGTGCAAACCGCACATTATTCGCGGTGTCCTGATAGTTGTTCACAATTTCTCTAATTTGTCCGAACAAATAACTAATTCGTCCCAACGAATTTCTAATTCGTCCGTACAAATAACTAATTTGTCCGAACAAATTTCTAATTCGTCCGAACAAAAAACAAATTCGTCCGAACGAATTTCTAATTTGTCTGAACGAATATCTAATTCGTCCAAACGAATAACTAATTCGTCCGTACAAATAACTTATTTGTCCGAACTAATTACTAATTTGTCCGAACAAATAACTTATTTGTCCGAACAAATAACTTATTTGTCCGAACAAATTTCTAATTCGTCCACACGAATTTCTAGTTTGTCCGAACGAATATCTTATTTGTCCGAACAAATAACTAATTCGTCCGAACGAATATCTAATTCATCCGAACGAATTTCTAATTTGTCCGAACGAATTTCTAATTTGTCCAAACAAATAACTTATTTGTCCGAACAAATATCTAATTCGTCCGAACAAATAACTAATTCGTCCGAACGAATATCTAATTTGTCCGAACAAATAAAAATATTACCTGGCCCTCCAACGGCGCCGTACTTTACTGACAAAAGATATGATAGAAGTGATGGCTTTAAATTTTCTAAAAACACTTCCGTTATTTGTGAAGGCGTATGTTTTTCGGTTGATTAGATTTGCAAAGGCTTGCTATACCTACGAACAATTTCTAAAATAAGTCCATCCATTGACAAGCAAATGAAGAAACAAAAATATCAACAGTCTTCATTTTGCACTCTCTATGTCCAAAACAATGACCTTTTCAAAAATAACAATTTATCATTAAATCTAATGCTGTCTGACTTGTTCATAGTAATTGTTAGGACACTGGAATTATCACTGGTACTTCAGAGCCAATGTACGTGGATTCTTTGGGTAGCCCTTTTCCACAAACTTTCATCCCCATGATTATTTATTTTTTAAACAAATTGATTCATAGAATCTAGTTAGAAACGAGTTACCCAAGAAATTACATTCCCACGAACAAGTAAACATATGATTGCAAACAAATATTGATCCTCACGAATTTAAATGACTCCACTTTGTTCTGATTGTATTGTTTCAAATGATAAATGTTCGTTTTCTGATAAAAAAAAAGAATAAAGAAAAATATTTATGGATATAGTTCTTACTATACCTTGAAGTTTGATGTCTGGCGTTCGAAAAGGAAGTTGGACAGAGAATAATAACAGACATATCAATGGAAGAGAAAATGTAGCTGCTAAACATTCTGAAACAGGATCATTCATTTTTTGACGTCTTTTTTAAACAAAGAGGGAAATTGAAACAAGTTATGAAAAGAGTGCGGAAGAAAAGAGAATAAGAATAAGGAAAACATACTGAAAGGAAAAGGGAATATAGGGAAACATAAAATGCGAAATATTTTAAGTGAGTGGTCGGTGTATCATATCTATTGTGCAAAAAAATCGGTGTTCAAAATTACTCAACATTGAAATTTATAACATCACTTAGGACAACCGGAAAAAAACCAATAATACATGGATGTAGTCTTTGGAGACTGGGTTTCCCAACGGATCTCCTTTGGAAGTATATTGTATTTTTAGTGCTCTTGATTAAAAAGCAATAATTCTTTTTCAGGAATTTCTATGATCTATTTGACTTTTGAATATCTCGATGGCATTTTTGTCAATATTAGTAATATTTCATTTTCATTCATACGTATTAGTTTAGGCTTTACTCTTTTACGTAAGATGGATTCTCGAACTAAGCTTTATCCACTGGTATGCTTTTACAAAGTACATCAGCTCCGTCCTTCTTTTATAATCTAAACCAATCAGGACGTATTCAGAAAGTTTACATTAACGGGCAATGTAGTGGGATTGTTGATACAACAACGTCTCCAGAACATTCTGATTGATCATTCTCAAATGTGCTTTTGAAAAAAAGCGATCTGAGCCAACGCGGACCAATGAAAACAGCTGTGAGATCAGATAATTTACTTCTCGACTGGTGTCAACCGCCGTCTGCTTTTTGTAATAATCTGGTATATCAATGCCTATTAAAATGTTATAAATGCTTTATTTGATCGAAAATTAAGTTAAACACTAAAAAATCAAAATATATCATTGACCGGATAGTAGATTATTCTACATGCTCAAATATACCTCAGAATCAGTACTCTTTAGAGTGCTATGTATAAAGGACTATAAAAATTCTTAGATCCGTCTTTTAAACTTTATTCAAAATGCATAAATAATTATACAAGTACATCCTTGATCTGAATTTCAAATTGAAATATAAGGTTAAAATCACTCATTCATTTGCTAATTTAATGCATTAAAACTGGTAAATAATCATATCGACTTTACAAAATGACATGTTAAACATGTGTCGGCATTGATGAATGGTCTGCCATATATTCTTCAAGCTGTCTTTTTACGTGTCTATACACAAAAACGTCGTTGCTATTGGCTGATCCAACCCAGAGAAGGTAGTTTTTGTCATCATAACCAAGGCTCCATGGCCAGTACGTTCCATGTTGTTGCATCAGCTGCAGCTCTGACAGGAAGTGGCCATCTTCGTCAATCACCTGTACTGTTTGAGTGTTAGCATCACACACCAGGATGTGTGACAGCGCGTTAGTACAGATTCCACGTGCTTTTAGTGCTGGTCCGGACGGAGGTCCTGTGTAGGAGAAGCGATGTTGTCCTCCAAAGTCCGTTACCACTACTCCATTGTTATAGTCAGACACAATAATGTCTCCATTGCGATTCTCTGTGATATAACGAGGATCGCTGTACAGTTCCTGACCTGCTTTGTTGTGCTGTATTGTTTGTATCGGTTGTCCGCTGTCAGTATATCGTATTACTTTGCACGTTCTTGTATACGTATTATACATTACAACAAACAACTCCTCATTAAAAGAAGAGCAGTAGATACAGTGTGGCTGCAATTCTTTTGTTTTCTTTAATAGAGTAGACGTTGTTTTTTCGTCTGCTGACAATTTTTTAATGTTATAACCCCTGTCTATGTAAATAAGATCGCGGTTCATATTCACAGTGTGTGCTCCCCACTCTGTATTGATATCTTTAAGATGATGTAGTGTTTCGCCCTCTGTGTTTGTCAGGATGAGCTTGTTATGTATGTCACTGATCCACACTAGATCCATGGTTACACAAGAAAAGTGTATGACCTTCCAAACACCTACCACTGTGACTGTTCTGAGTAGCACTGGTCGAGGGAGCAGTTTAAGCAGACATTCTTTTCCTAATTGTCTTCTTCCTATCTCTATAATTCCAATTTCATTAAGTACGTTATTTACATTCTCTATCTTGATTTCTCCAGTAACGGATAATAAGACGTTCTGTGTTAAACCAGGGGTATTTTTTATCTTGGAAACAAAACGTTTCTTTAAGAATAAGACAAATTTTACCGGTCTGTTTATTAAATGGTCAGAACATTGCTCATATTTCTCTATGTTGACAAGATATCTATTTTGTTTCCACTTCTGTACTTTCAATTCATGGTATAAACATCCAAGTCTTATTTTAGCATCCCATTTTTCAAATTCAATACGTTCCATTAGTCGTTTGGCTTTCTTTGAAATCTCTGATTGGTGTTTGACGATTTCTGTCGGACAATTCTTTATAGACGTTCTGATTCCTGTAAGGAGAGAATAGCTGTTAAAGATATCCTCACTTCTTAGGTTGTAAATGATTTTTTTGTGTTTCTGACGGGTTGTTTTATAAACAGTTCTTATGTCCTGTATGTTGTGTTTTTTGTGTTTTTTACATTGGACACAAAGTGGAAGTTCACACGCAGTACAGAAAAGTTCATAAATTCTCTCTGGATGTCTTGTACAGGACTCTTGCTCAGAGATGTAGTCATATTTCTCACGGTAAATCACAACATCATGGTGTTTGATTTCTAGATCAATAACATGTATCTCTTTACACGGTAGACACAGGTCATGTTGACAAGTGCAACAGTAGAATTCTGTGTCCCCCTGACACTGAGAACACTGACGGACTTTTAAATGTTTGATGTATCCCAGTGAGTCCATAATGTGTAGCGTCTAGATGATTTGTAAAGCAATCTGCAGAATTGAAAAAAAAAAAAATTAGACTCTCTAGCCCTTTTCATGGCAAAGACTTAAACATCTCTAGAGAATTTGATAAAAAAAAATCTAATGCACATTTTCAGGTATTTCTTGTATTTTTTGTTTATAACCTATTCACAGTAAAACTTGTTAAGTACGAACACGGATATTGCGAATTCACGGATATCTAAGCGAAGTCATCTTGGACCCCAGCTATATAAATCTAATGAATTTCTTATATGAATATAACGAATTAAGGATATAGTGAAGTAATATCATAGGTCCCAATGACTTCGTAATAACAGACTTTTGCTGTATCTATATTATGAAAGGGGTATTGTGTACTTTCAAAAATGACTATAAAATTATTTCTGTTGCCATTATATTTATATTTCATATTTATATTATTATTGGGGGTAATAACATGAATTCGACATTTTTATGTTATAAAATGCTGTAACTCAAATCTAACCACCGGGTTGATTTTGATCATTGTAAAATCGCTCGAATAGTCCGCAAAATTTAACTAAGACAAACAGAGAACTGATACGACCAATAAAAAAATGTTCTCAACATTATATATTTTATCGCGTTTATTTTCTCTTTCAAACAGTGCAAGAATTATTTGATATTTGCTGATTTAATGGAGTTTTGAATGTTTTTTTACAATACATATGCGTATAAATGCGTGTATGCTGAAAAGCCCAAATCAGATACTTGACAATGCTTTATTCGAGCGCGCCATGCAAAGCACACTTGGTAACTATACATGTTTGAAATGAATTTTTTATGAAAGATTCATTCTTTTTTCTCAATTTCCTGCAATATCCAAATTAGGGCAATATCAGAATGTTTCATTCAAAAAATCAAATGAAGTATTGGAACAATCTTGTATAGTCATATTAAAATTTGTGACACCAAAAGTAGTTTTAAATTATTTCGCATGGTAAATTATTTGACCTTTCTGCACTCAAATACCGTAGACGTACTTTTTTCCGCGTGGGATTAATTTCCGCTATGTAGGCGGACGTAATTTTTCCGCGGAAATTTGTCAAAGCGTACTAAAGATTCACAAAGGGACATATAATGACAATCCACGATATCCGTGTAATTTAATACTTGCAGAATGAATAGAAATTTTGTTTCCGCGGAATTATGACCCCGTGAAATTAAATACTTTACAGTATGTAATTTTTCTTGTTTATAAACAAAGAAAGCAATAAAAACATTTGAAAGGAATGTCATTTTTCTGAATTAAAGCAGAATGGTTAAAATTCTCTTATATTTTCAGAAAATGAAATAAAAAAAATGTGTGGGTCTATGATGTTAGTTTTAAGATATTAGTAAAATAATGCTATTATAAGCTAAAATTTGGCTATTTTATTCAAGGACTTACATAATATGTTTGATATCTTTACCAAATATGATAAAAGAATTCATGAAAGTTAATTTAATATCTACATAAGGATCAGCATAGATCATTCCACTGCCCAAATTTATTCTTTGTGCAGGCTGCATGGAAAAAGTAGAGGTCCAAACTTAACAATACTAAGTACATTAAAAGAGGAAAAATTGATCTTTTTCTTCTAAAAAAAAAAAGAACCTTCCGCCACAATAAATATTTCCCCATCTAATGTTTAATCATGGAATTTAATCATGGGGTTTTAATTGAATAATTATAGATATATGAGCATTATAGAAGCCAAATTTATTTGAAGAACTTATTAAAAAAACTTTATCATAATGTTGATTTTTTTAAAAAAAAAAGAGGTTAAGACAAAACTTTGCCGAAAAGCTGAGGAGCGAACCTCGTTAAAGTGATGAATTGATATTGTGTCGACCACGATTATTTAGCATCCTTTAAACGCCATGTAAACCTCTTTCGCGTCAGTTGATAATTATTAGAAACCAAGATTTTTGTTAAAACCTAAATACTTATTTTGTTCATACACGATTATGATTTTTAAAATGTTTTTTTTTCTGACAACTCTAATACCTTTTGAGAATTTATCGTAACTCTTGATTTAAAAAAAATAATAATCAGGTTTGCCCCAATAGATATTCATGAAAAAGTTTCTTGTTCGACACTTACTTGTAATTGAAATCGCATATTATTATTTTTTGAGAGAAGCATTGCCGCCCTAAAAGGATATTTAAAGATGAAATAATTGTGTTTATACTATTAAAGATAATGACATAAGAATACATTTAAACTACACATGATCTCAAAAAATAAAGATTTTCCTTTTTTGCATTACACATATATATATATATCTTTTAGTTATCTTCCTTTTTTCAGTGTCGGGAATGAAAAACGCAAGTAAACAATGATCACACGCTATTCTAGGAATAGATGGATATGGAGATAACGGACAGTATTCAATATCAAAGTCCATAAAACAATACAAAATAGGAGAAGGATATGGAAATAACGAACAGTATTCAATCTCAACGTCCATTAAACAAATATACAAAATAAGAGCAGAGCAAACACGGACCTCCGAAACATCAGAGGTGGGATCAGGTGCCATGGAGGAGTGAGCATCCCCTGCCGACCGGTCACACCCGCCGTGTGCTCGTTGTCATAATCAGGAAATAACGGAAAAAATCCGTGGTCAATTCAGTGTATAAATAATGGACTAACAATTGGTATGAAAAACGTCAGTCAGCATTTCATTCAATGATAAATTGTATTTGCTGACAAGGTCATTGTATCGACCATAGAATAGCAGAGCAAACACGGATCTACGAAACATCAGAATTGGGATCAGGTGCCATGGGGGAGTGAGCATCCCTGCTGACCGGTGGCACCCGCCGTGTGCTCCTTGTCATGATCAGGTAATAACGGAAAAATCCGTGGTCAATTCAGTGTATAAATAATGGATTAACAATTAGTATGAAAAACGTCGGCCAGCGAACTCAATGATAAACTGTATTTGCTGACAAGGTCATTGTATCGACCAGAGAACTTAGGAGATGATGACTTTAAACCAGTCTGCTAATATTTTGTTTCATCAACTTGCTTGTCAATAATCTACCTCATTTTAGAAATTGTTCATACGTAGAGCATGCTCTTGCGTATCGAATCAACTGAGAAATATATACTCCGTATGCAGGTAATGAAGGTATATTGCTGCATAAGTAAGGGAAGTTGACGATACAAAAGTTAAAGTCATTACGTTTATCAAATAGCTTGCTTATTAGATTACCATTAACATCTTTTTTAAGTAAAATGTCCAAGTATGAAAAAGATATAGTTCTTTTAAAGCAATCATGACTTATATAAGTTATCAATTCTGTTAATGACGCAATTTGTGCGCACCTGTTCAAAATTCAAGATTAAGTAACGAAAACGATCCCGTCGTTTCACAGTACCGTATGCCAATGATTTATGAGGAGAGTAGCGTATCAGAAACCTTAAGCTAGCAAAGATGCACCCGCCACTCAAAATTCAAAAGTCTTAAGTTGAATTGTCCGGGGTTTCCTTTGTAAATCGGTCAAAGCTAAAGGTCAACTGAATTGTAACGCTGGTAGGTTTCATAATGTTTTATGACAAGCAGTGCACATGCTATGTAATTAGCCATTAAATACTAAAGATAGGCTTTATATATTACATTTAAACTTTTTTAGTAAAGAAGGTCAAAGAACAAGTCAAGAGCCACGAGGTCGGTAACATTGGCAATTAACAAAGCTATCGTTCCAAGCAATACATGAGTAAAATATCAAGTCCATATCTCTTACAGGTCTTGAGATACAAGGTGTGACAGACGGGCAGACGAACAGGAAAACAGACCGATGGAAAGACAAACAGTTTTTAAACGGTAGATATTAGGAATTTCATATTTCAAAGATCAGTTTTTTGTGGCAAGACCTTTTTATTGAAACCAAGCATTTTGACCTTTTGACCTTGACTTGGACATTTCCGTATTTACGAGAAAACTGTAACTCTGGCCATAACTTTTGAATTGCAAGAACTAGGGCTTTCAAACTTCACATAAGTTATGCTTGTTAGAAGTCCTTTCATTGAATATCAACACTTTTATACCTTTGACCTTGACCTTGTAGTTTGAATTACTTTTTACAAACTTTAATCTTGACCATAACTTTTGAACAGTAATGGCTAGACCTTTCATACTTCACATATGTAATTTTTGTGACAAGTCCTTTCATTGGATTTCCACAACTTTGACCCTTTGACCTTGACCTTGAAGTTTGAACTACATGTAATTTTTACAAACTTTAACCATGACCATAACTTTTGAACGGTAAAGGCCAGCAATTTCATACTTCCCATATGTAATCTTTGAGAGAAGGCCTTTCTATAGAAACCAACAACCTTGACCCTTTGACCTTGACCCCGGAGTTTTTCCTACCTTCGAAAACGATAACATTGGTCATTACCTTTGATCGAGTGGTCCTAGTGTTTTTCATTTAACATTTGCATTTCATGAAAATTCCTTTCTTTAGGTAAGATCTGCATTTGAGAAAGCTAAGCCTTCACTTTGTTGCCATACGGGGGCATCAGTTTTTTACAAACACATTTTGTTTTCACATATGGTAAAGTTGTCATATAAAGATACAAAATAAAAAGTTTGATTGTTTACTAAGAGAGGGTATTTGGCTCAAATCCCTTCTTAGATTGCAAGCTTTTAAAAGCTAACATAGTTATAGTTTGTTTTTTTTTTTTTAAATCATATAAATTTGATGAAACTTTAATCCCTTATTATAAAAATGAAATTACATTTTAAAATTCTTCGTCTTTTATTGTGTAAAAATTATAACTTAATCCATTGTTCTTTCGTTATTTTTAGGGGCAGAAAAGGTTAAAAAAATTAATCTACTTTCCCACCAAAAATAGAGCCCCTGCTATTTATTAAACGCTGTTTACCATATCTACTTAAAGTCATACAGCTGTGATAAGGGAATAAAAATATGGCCTTTAATATAAACGTCTAACACCTAAA